TCCTGGGCCCCCTGGTGGCTCTCCGACGCCCATCTTCTCCTATATGAGGTCTTTCGATGAGAAAAAAATAGGAAGGAACTTTTCGGGACGAGACTCCGCCGCCACGAGGCGGAACCTTGGCGGATCCAATCTAGAGCTCCGGCAGAGCTGTTCTGCCGGGGAAACTTCCCTCCGGAAGGGGGAAATCATCACCATCGTCATCACCAACGCTCCTCTCATCGGGAGAGGGCAATCTCCATCAACATCTTCACCAGCACCATCTCATCTCCAAACCCTAGTTCATCTCTTGTATCCAATTCATGTCTCAAAGTCCGGGATTGGTGCTATTAGGTTGCTAGTAGTGTTGATTACTCCTTGTAGTTGATGCTAGTTGGTTTATTTGGTGGAAGATCATATGTTCAGATCCTATATGCATATTATTACCCCTCTGATTATGAACATGAATATGCTTTGTGAGTAATTACGTTTGTTCCTGAGGACAAGGGAGAAGTCTTGCTATGAGTAGTCATGTAAATTTGGTATTCGTTTAACATTTTGATAAGATGTATGTTGTCTAGCCTCTAGTGGTGTTATGTGAACATCGACTACATAACACTTCACCATTATTTGGGCCTAGAGGAAGGCATTGGGAAGTAATAAGTAGATGATGGGTTGCTAGAGTGACAGAAGCTTAAACCCTAGTTTATGCGTTGCTTCGTAAGGGGCTGATTTGGATCCATATGTTTCATGCTATGGTTAGGTTTACCTTAATACTTTTGTTGTAGTTGCGGATGCTTGCAATAGAGGTTAATCATAAGTGGGATGCTTGTTCAAGTAAGAACAGTACCCAAGCACCGGTCCACCCACATATGAAATTATCAAAGTATCGAACGCGAATCATATGAACGTGATGAAAACTAGCTTGACGATATTCCCATGTGTCCTCGGGAGCGCTTTTCCTATTATAAGATTTTGTTCCAGCTTGTCCTTTGCTACAAAAGGATTGGGCCACCTTGCTGCACTTTATTTACTTTTGTTACTTGTCGCTCGTTACAATTTATCTTATCACAAAACTATCTGTTACCACTTATTTCAGTACTTGCAGAGAATACCTTGCTGAAAACCGCTTATCATTTCCTTCTGCTCCTCGTTGGGTTCAACACTCTTACTTATCGAAAGGACTATGATAGATCCCCTATACTTGTGGGCCATCACTGGTATGTAGGGCATGCTGCTCAGACTATCATCCCTGCTAGGGATCAGGGACAGTATTTGGACCATTCTTGATGGACCAACATTACAATCATGTAGCAACCTTATGAATTTTCCTCGTGGGGCTGAATCCTCTCTGGGTGCTCAGAAATTTTACTAGGTCAAACTTCTTTATTTGGTCGTGGTTGTGTTCTTTGACATATTCGATGAGCACCCACCATGCTCCATCTGCATTTAGCTTCATCTGGACAGGGCATTCCATCTTGAGAATGAAGCCTCTCTTTCATTCTGGTACGACTGGCACAACACCTTACCCTTCTTGTTCTTTCGTTCCTTGTAGCACCTTATCTCTCCTCTACTGTACTCGTTAGTTTTTTTATTTTCCTATGGTATTCCCTGTTCACCGCAAATCCATGGAACAACGCATATCTCTGGTAGTATTCCTTGGCATTTTCAAATGAACCAAATCTCTGCCCAACATAAGGTGGTTGAGGTGGCATGATTTCTGGTTGTCCATCTTCTTCTTCCCCTTGCGCTTCGTCATCAGTTTCATCATTCACTTCAGTATTAGCGGCTGTTTTATCTGCTTGAGTGGTTCTTGTGCTGGTGTGCACATGCATGCTTGTCGTCATTGCTGCAACGATTACCAGTTCTGACACTGATTCTGCATTATTTGTGACAACATCGGTGACTTGCTCATGGAACACCCCATACGTGTGCTATGAGGTTCCCGCAGTAGATGTTCCCGCACCGCTGCTGATTATAGTTGAAGCTCTTGCAAAAAATCTGGTACGTGTGTTCGCAATATTGCTTGAATGGCATATTCATCATAATGAAATATAGCAGTTGCATCTGAATGGCATGATATCATTCATACATGAAAGCCTTGAGCATCTGCATATGGCCATGCATGGCAACTGTAGTTTTTTAGTCATGGCAGCTGCAGTTGCCAAGTCATGGCAACTAGGATCTTAACATCAAAACTTGCATTCTAGATACGAGCCCACGAGGCAAATCACAAATGGCGTGTACACACAGATAGTAATTGAGAAATCCAGATGATCATAGACGACTAATGGACGTATTCACTTGGTGGCAATCGTAGTTTGCTACCACCACCATGACAAATCCACTTTTCCCAATGCTTTTCCAAAGAAGAAAATGCACGATTTTTATTGGTTCACATAGTTACCTTGTTGTGCCGCATGTGCTAATCAAAGTTGGTGTGTCACTTCAATTTGGTGTGCTGTATCTGCAATACCGATGGCCTATAATGGTGAAGCTTGCCACGAGACCTTTGTTGCTATGGTTCATCCATAACAACCTGCGATCATGTGCAATTGGTCAATGCATGGCAACCGTAGTTTCTATAACATGGCATATGTAGTTGTTCAATCATGGTAAATGTAGTTGTGCACACTTGGCAAACAGAGTTGTTCACACAAGGGAACAGAGTTGTTCAGTCATGGAAAATACAACTATTCAGACATGGCAACTTCAGTTGTTAAGACATGGCAACTGCGTGCAATCACCGTGTGGCCACTACTAGTCATACATTCAATTTGACACATGCAGTTGTCCACATGTGGCAAATACAGGCGACCAGACTTGGCAGATGCACTTTCCATCATTTTTTATATTTCTATGAGCAACAAACGCCAATGTCACCTTTTTCTCAATTTTTGTCACACCACGTAAACACCAATGTCACCTAGTTTCCTTTTTCGGATACACTGTCGGCAAGATCACTTCATACAACTCACATGCGTACGACGTTGATGGCAGGTATCCTCTTGCCGCTTGTTGCCACGTGCTGCATGATGGTCCTGCGTTTTTTCAAAAAAAAATCGTAAGTCTTGCCATCCTTGCAAGTTTTTTTACCACATCAGTATGCTATTTCTATGCGTTACCTTGATTTGCCACATTTGCTACTTGAAGTTGGTCTCCCGTATGTCTATCACCAATAGCCCCATGTGTTGCAACTTTCCATAGTATCCCTCCATGTGTGGTTGTGTCATAAGAACCTGCGAACAATGACATTGTAGTACATAAGTAGAATGCCATTTTCAAGCCCACAAACATGTCAACTGTACTTTTTTTTATCACGCATCGTACCTATGTTCGCATACTTCTCTAGTAGTGGCAGCAACGATCGTGTGGAAATTAGTTGATTGTACTCTATTGCATTCCAAGGGGGCGCTTGCGGCCTTCCAGAAAATGACGGATCAGTCCCGTCTGCATGATTCATTTTTTCTGCTTCTCCTACTGTGTTTTCAGTCACTGCATGAACAAGAACGCACTAATATTCGAATTGCATTTTGATGTTTCCTCATAAAAGGAAACACAATCTTATCACATTTTTTGCATAAACAACCAATACATCATGGCAAGTAGGAAAACATCGTATCTGTGCATTTTTGTTGATAGGGCATGCACATTCATTCTCTCTTTCTATAATCTGGATGGCAACTATCATGTTGAACTGCTGGCAACAACTAACATTACATGATAGGAAGTAACAACAAAGATAGGTGGCTACTAATTTTTTTCCCTCCATATGTTCCGCCAAAATGGCTCTTTTCTGCCCGGAACTTAGTGAATCCTACACATCCTTCTCGAGCACCTACTGGTAGCAACCCCAACCTAAAAGCTTAGATCAGACCTAGGCTAGAATATGGCAGATTTTGTGTTCTTTGGGGGAAAGGGGAATAAACATGAACGGTCGGAATTCATGTTAGTTGTAGATACACGCGACACAAATCTATGGTGTGTTTGCCATGACAGTGTGGATCCAGTCGCCATCTACGTGGGCAATCTCGAAGTGAAATTATTGGGCCCAGGGGAAGGAGGAGGTGATAGGAGAATGACAAGTTAGCTCATTGCCGTGTTTTCCGTCGAGGGGGAGGGGGCGCTAGAGATCTGTTTTGGTTGCCATGGCAACTAGAGAAGGAAGACTATGGAGGTAGGGGAAGATTGGCTGATTCATAAGTTGGAGACAACGACGGATGGTGGCACTTTGCTTCATAGGCCGATAGGGACGATGGGGCACGAGAGGTTGTGCGGGCCGCGGGGTCGCTCGCCCGGATGTGTGGGCGATCGCACCACACACCGGACGTGCAGGCTGTGGTTCGGTGCGCCAGGACGCTGTCATGCGGGCGGGGCTGTGTTGATACCACACGGGGTGTGCGGCACACCCCCCCCCTAGATGCCACACGTGTGCTGGATATCGGCCTCCAAAAAATAAGGGAAGGAAAGTAAACAAAATAGGAAGTAGTACTATAGTTGGCTGATTCGGTTGGTGGTTTTCATGTTTTGGAATTTCCTTGGAGAAAATAAAGGAGAAAAAGAGCAGCCTTCTTGGAGAAAAAAGGCAAGTCGGATCAAATCTGGGCACTTTTTCTTTCTCCACTACTATTAAACAATCAAACAAGAATTTTCTTAGGCGCACCCCGCAATTAGTCCCACAACATCGCACAAACCAATCAGCACCACACGATTAGGCCCACAATTCTCGACCTCACAGCCATCATTAATCTTATCCCTTTATGGTGTGCACTTAGCAATTTTTTTTGACTAACTGTGCTTCACCAGGGAGTAGTACTCGAACAACCGCTCCCTACAATCACGGATGTCTGATAGCAAGCTAAGGAAATTCCATGCGCTGGACCTTGACCTCACCATCTGTCATGGCGTCGACCTCGTGTGTCAGACACCGCCCACCAACAACGTCTCCTCCGTGCACGACGACCTCGCCGCACTGCACCACTCGGTCACCTCTGTGCACGATCGCCATTGCTGATTGTTGCCCCTCACAGCGTGACATTGGTCCTGCGATATCCAGGAGATAGAGCTTGCCCCGGCACCCGTGCGGCCACGCCGAAATCTGCACTGCCCCGGCGCTTGCGCCGCCACGTCCCCTGAACCATCCACCTCGCGACACCGCCCGCCCCTGCTACCCATGTGACGCTGCTGCTCCCTCCTGCCCCAAGAGCGCACATCTCCAAGCGGCCTTTGCGGGAGGGACGACGCACCAGGCGCATCGAGCCGGCGCATCCCGGCATCGCCTCCGTTCTTCGCTCCGCCTCATCGACGCCGGTGCAGGTTATCTCCTCCGACTGCATGCCCATCCTGGTGGCCATCTCCTCCAACCGTGCTCCCCATCGTCTCCCTTCTTGATCCCATCTGACACAAGGAAACTTTTGCAGGCCTATATCCCACTCCTCCCTGTAGCTTCAGAGATCTTAGATAGAAAAAGGATATGGTGGCGTTGTGCCGACTGCCTGCTCTTCTCTTTCCTGGCGTAAGGGACCTCAAGATCTGGCACCGGGAGCTTTCTTCGTCCGCATCCGTACTTTGTGTATGGGAAAGCAATCTTCCGGGTAGCAGCAGTTGGACTTCATTTGTGATTAAGGATGATAGCTATCGAAGTGAGTAAATTATCCTTTCAAAGGAGATTTTTATGCCTACTGTTTCGGTATATTTAGTGTGACCACAAACAAACATGCTGACTACTAATGTTCTTGCAGGTGTGATTGCTTTGATTAGAGATGGCACTGATATAACACGAGAGATTATTTCTGTAACACTTTGTCTTGGGTCTACACTTGCTAACAGAGTTGCAGACAAAACAAAGCAACGAGCCTTTGTACTGAATGTAAACATACTCTGCAGATCAACACCCATCTTTTAATGTGAGGTCTGTACTATCAAGTGCAGTTTATTTACTATGTCTCGGATTCTGAATGTATGGTTCAATTTCATGATTTTAACCTTTCAAGTTATTGGTGTCCACACATGATTTCAACATATCGAGTTCTCTTTCAAGTCATTCGGATGTTGCTTTGACAGTTGTCATCTACAGCTTATTATTTTTTGCACTATAGTCTCACAATTTTGAATTTAATCTTTTTTGTTGACTAGCATCATATTTCTTGATTGTGACCTCATGCTTAAATAGTTAAATTTGGTAGGTTGTAGAAATTCCAACTCACTATCTCTGAGAATTACTATATATTCCATGGGGGTCACTGAATTCTTTTTCTCTTCCTAGAATTTGCGGCTTACATTGCTAATATTTGATCCTCGATAGCAATGCTCTTTTCCTTCCATGTCGGTCATGCCAAAAAAGCATTGAGGTGAGTATTTGATCCTCCATTAATCATCTATGTCCTTTCTGAAACTGAATGCCATTTTTTCTGGCTCAAGGGCGAGTCTGCACCAATCCACCATGCTCGAGTCTGCACCAATCCATCATGCTTGAGTCAGGGGGATCACCTACAGTGCGATGGCCAAACCTATCTTGCAGGTTAATTCACTTTCGATTTTTATGGGCTTTAAGACTAACTTATCCTTATTCAATTGCACAATTTTCAAACCATATTAAAATGTTAGTTAACGGGTTCATTATGCATTTGCTGGAATCATGGTATCATTTAGGACAGATTTATGTCATACTATATATAGGCAATTGGTATGATTCTTTTTAAGTCGAAAGTAATGGTGTGGAGCTAGAAGAAAATACATACCTTATGTTCTAAATATTTGATTCCCTTTTTAGAATCAAGTACATGTCATTTGGAGAGCATATCTTTTTTATATATTTTATTTGTATAGAACCAGTTCTTTGGATATGTGACTAAACTTGATGCATACTTGATCCTGGTGCGACTTTTTTACCCAGGATAATAAACCTATGTTGTTGTTGTGCGGTTGCAGGGGAATCATGTACCGGCATAATAGATTATCCCAAATGATATTTCATTGACAAGCCACATATAAATTGAAGTCAAATTAGGCATATACTATGTTGCACAGGTTAATCTTATCTCAGTGTTCCCTGGATATTTCTTTTTTGTAGCCTCTATTGCAGTGTGCACCGCTGCAAGAATGAAATTAATTTATTCTATATAAATGCTATAATAAGTATTTCAGAACATTTTTTCTGCTGTTGGATTTAATATTTTATTCCATTTCCGATGGATAAAAATGTTTGAGGCTACTTCCATATTTATCCCTTGTTTCTTACGGTCTAGCGTGTTAGAAAATTTTTCTTTCAGATTTGCCTGTCCTGTTTGTGCACCAGGTACAAGGTCTCGCCTTGTTGAAGGCTAGTTCCGGTTCTTCTATTTTCATTTTCATTTTGTTAATGTACATTTTCTACCTAATAAGGACTTGAGGTGTCTCGTGGATTGTAGCGCATGGGGAGCCTCACGATTGTTGTGGTTATTTTTTACACAAAGTCATTGTAGCACAAGTTGTATGTACTCCCTCCGTTTCTTTTTACTCCGCATATTAGATTTGGTCAAAGTCAAATTACACAAAGTTTGACCAAATTTATATAAAAATATATAAACATCTACAATACTAAAACTATATAATATGAAAATATGTTTAATGATGCATCTGATAATATTGATTTCATATTGTGAATGTTTATATTTTTTAATATAAAATCAGTCAAACTCTACAAAGCTTGACTTTGGCCAAACCTTATATGCGGACTAAAAAGGAATGGAGGGAGTATAGCTCGTGATACATGGTGATGCATCTTTCCAAGGTTAAATGTGCTTCTCATTTATTGATGCTTTGACGGCTGTCTAATTTAGTGTTTTACACTGAAGGTGCATAACATTAAATAAGATATGATTAGGCTTAAGATATAAGAAGAATAATGATTATATACGAAACTTAAATACACATGGTTTATCGCTTTTACAAAGAATGGAGTTATGAGAATGGGTCAAATATGCCCTGCGGGACGAAATTGACTACGCATTTTCTATATGTTCAGGGTTTAGAAGTCCATTGTGTGTGCATGTTTGATACGAGATATGTTGCTCATATGAAAAGAACTATATCTCCAATGCTATATTTAGTTTAAATTAAGATTTGAGCTACATTATTGCACTCATTCATTTTATTGACATAATTATGGCTTAATTAGGATGACTGAGAATTGTTTTTCTATGATTATACATGTGTTGCACATGCATACTTACTAGTATTGAAAAAAAATAGCTGAGTACGGGTGGGAGAGAGAGTTCAGTTAGGAAAGAAATAAAATAAAAAAGAAAAGACATGATTGGTTTGGCCGGTTTGGATTGGTTAAAAGAGTGCAGATCTATTTTGAAGTTTGGAAGGTATCCACAGAGAAAAAAAGGCAAATCTAATCCGCCCAAAAAAAGAGAGGAAGAATTACAAGAAAGAGTAGAGGGAGAATAAGGAAGGAGATTGTAACAAGGGAAAGTGGGCGTGGGTTTTTCCTAGGTCCTCACATTGGAGATAAAAAGTCAGTTGGTCAATTCGGTTGTGTTTCCTAAGAAAAAAATAACAACCCATGCAGTTTTTTTTGGAGAGAGAGAAAGGGAAAAAAGGTTCACGTGCAAGCATTGGGAGTAGTAGGAACGTTTGGATTATAATAACAAAAAGGGTGGTTGTGTGCAGCACAACACATAGGTCTACAGGATAGCAAGGAACAAAAAGAGAGTACACCTTATCTACTGTTTGTCTTTATCATTGCTGTTTCCACTCAACCTATTCAGTACACCCATTTTTATTGCATCCTTCTTGTGCATCCACATACGTCCGCAAGGTTGTTACATGAATCCCCCTGTGTCTTAGGCTCGTGTCTCTAGTACACTTTAGCCTGAGTCCAGCATTCGACCGCTTTGAATGAATTTTTAGCTTGCATTAATTAACGTGGTTGTAGCATTTTTTCCATATATAAAGCCAACCCAGCTCCACATATTTTTACACTGTGTATACATACGTCACCTAGCAATCGTTTTACCAACTTTTGGAGTTATTTGACACTACTGGTTGCCGACCACCTCCTGCTGCATGGTAAGAACTTGTAAGACTTTGATATTTGCTATACTATGAGTGTTTTACCACCACATCCTAGTAGTTCATCGGAACATTCTTTTTGGATTTTGTTTCTTGTTTCTGCTAATCATGACAAGATCCAGAGTCAATTCGTGGGCTTCGTCAATCGTGGGAGACGTGCCACCACCTTCCAAAATAGAACCACCATCACAAGCGGTGCACACACATCAGAATGCGCACAATCAGGTTGTTGTTTTCATACCACCATTTAGTGGTCGTTTTAGACCTGCTTTATATATTGAATGGGAGTTCGACATAAATAATATATTCGCTTCCCATAGTTTTACTGAACGTAAAAAAGCTAAGGCCGTGGTTGGTTCATTGATTGGTTATGCTTCAGTTTGGTGGCGCGAATATTGTCGGTTACACCCTGATTATATACCTACTACTTGGGATGATTTGAAACTTGCCATGAGACATACATTTGGCCCCTCTTATTATACTCGTGACATGATTAAAAATTTGCAACATCTAAAACAAGGTAGTGACACCGTAACGAAATGATTTACAAACTATCTTGTTGCATTCCTCTTTAGAAGAAAGTAAAGAAGATTTGATGGATAGATTTTGGGGAGGATTAATCCGTGATATTCAGGAGGTATTAATTCATGGCGGGTCTTATCCTATGGACCTTCTGTTTTGCCTTGCTTGCAAAGCTGAACAGAAAATAATATGGCGTGTTGTCCATAAGGACAATGTTGTTCCTTCAACTACTAGGTGTACTATGACAACCACATCCGTTGTTGTGAGGACTACATCACCTCCAATATGTGACACATCACCTTCGAGAGTACTTGCATCATCCAAGTTGATCATAAGAGGTAATGACAAAGAGACCGATTTTCCACCTCCATGAGTATGATGAATGCCTTGTCAATTTAAATGAACCATGCGATGAGCTACCCATTACTTTGATCACACGAGTTATTTTAGAGGACTATGTTGATGATTTTACTTTGCCATGTGATCAAACAATTTTGAGTGAATGAATTGAATTAACTATTGATGCAAAAGGATCATGTGAATCAGGGAATAAATCAGATTGGGATCAAATATGTTTGAAAATAATTGTACCAATGTTTAATCATTTTGATATGACCTCTAATCTTGGTGGTGGTTCATCAATGTTGGGATGGTTTAATGATAAGCCTTGTCAATCCTTTGATATGAATAAGAGCGTCACTTATATGGGCAAACTAAGTTGCAATATTTTCATGCCTTTGACTTGTTGTGATAATATATTGGCTTCATATTT